CGAGGCCCGAGGGCCGCTCCAAGGGCAGCGGAGCCAAGCTCCGGCACTGGGGGTGAGGGAGGCCCGGGAGATGGGGGTGAGCCTGGCGGCACAGGGGTGCTGTCACGTCCTGCCAGGCCCCCGTTCCCTGCCTGGGCACGGCGAGGTTTTGCTGGGCTGCAAACCCTCCGCACCGGGAGTCTCCTACACAGGGGGCAAACAAGGCCTGGAGCAAGACCCAAGGAGCCCTGCTCCATGGGGAGGGGGTGGGATTTGCCTCCCTTCCTACTGGAGCCGACCTTGCCCAATAAAGCCCTTCACCAAACAGCTCTGTGTCTGGTTTGGGGAGGGAGGGGTTTAATTGCCCAGGGAATGACTTGGAGCTTCGCCCACAGGATGCAATGATCCAGCCTCAAAGTGACGTTTCCAAGAGGGGAAAAAAATCATGTTTCCCCCAGACTGTCCCTCCCCCAGCCCTGCATCCCACTCCTGGGTCCCTGAGTGGTCAGTCCTGCCCTGGTTTTTCCTCCTCTTCCTCCTGGTGGAGGTTCAGCACCCAGCTCACAAACCAGCTGACCAGGCAGGAGGAAGGGATCCCTCCCCAGGGAGGGATGCAGGGAGAAGCTGGGATGGAGGGCATGGCACCAGGCTTGCCAATCCCTCCAGGATGGGTGCTGAGCCCCCCACTCTGCAGACGTGAAGGGACCCCTGGGAGTTGCACTTTTGGTGGTCTCAGTTCTCTGATTCTTAGGCATAACTCAAAGGAGTTAAAAATCCACCAAATCCAGGGAAAGCCCCTCCAGCCCCAGCTCTGCCAGGTGTCTGGCTTGTCCCTCCTCCCATCCCACAGTGCTGTTTCAAGGGAGCAGCCCACCTGAGCCAGAGGGCTGGACTCAAGGACCCGAGGAAACGGCTGGAGCTGCGTCAGAGGAGGTTTAGATTGGATTTTAGGAAAAGGTTCTTCCCCCAGAGGCTGGTCAGACACTGGAACAGGCTTCCCAAGGAGCTGTGCAGGGCCAGAAGTTGGACTAAATGATCCTTGTGGGTCCCTTCCAACTCAGGAGAGTCTGTGATTCCATGAATCTTCCGAATGTGCCTCATCAAGGACACAGCCCATGCACTGACCCCGCAGCTCATGGGCAAAACTACCCTGAGCATCACACGTGCTACAGGGCACAGGTCCAGGGGCAGAGGCTCCTCAGCACTGTCCCATTCCTGCCAGTCCCAGATCTCCTCCAATTCCTGGCCCATCTGGTTGCTCAGTGTTTAATTACGGAGTCCGAGGGCACAAAACCAGCCCCATTTGTCCTTTCACACCATCTGTGCCCGGAAAAGCTTCCAGCTCGTCTCATTTTTCTCCCTCGAATTGCTCTGCTCCACAACGAGGCTTTGTCTTCCCCTCTCACAGTTACCTGCTCCCTTCCAGCTCCCAGGAGCTGGCAGCCAGGAAGGAAATCAGAGGGAAGGCACGAGGAAGGCACTTTGCAGAGAAATTCAAGTCTCTGCTTTGTAAAAAGCTCTGAGGGTCTCAGGCCCAGGCCAGGTGCTGTGTCAGTGTTTGGGGACTGGGACCAGCCTGCCCTGACTGCAGCAAACCCTGCAGAGGGGTGGGCTGGGAGGGAGAAGCCCAACCTGTGGTTATGTGGCCACAATGGCCATCAGGGATCGAATCTCTGGGTTGCTTTCCATAGTCGGCAGCTTGGAGGAGCTTTGCCTGGGGCAGCAGGGAAAGAGGAAAGTATGGGAGAGAGTAGAAAAGAGTGTTAAAGGGGTTTGGAGTTTATTGGTGGTTTTTTTAATCATTATTTTTTATTTTTTAAAGGCAGACTCAGGCTTGCTGAGTGCAGTATCACTAAGAGAAGTATTGATGATGATGATGATGATGATGATGTCATATTGGACTCTTACAACATTAATGAGGTACCATAACTTGGTACACTGGATTTGATTACATGGAGGAGCAGCTGGATCAGCCTCAGGGAGGCCAGGCTGTCTGTGACCATAAACCCTCAGATCTGTCAGCACTGCCTTTTCCACTGTGTTTTCTCCCTGCAATGAAACCCAACCGTTCCCCTTAACGCCCGGCTCCCAGAGCGAGTAACGTGTCCCACACTGTGGTTCTGAGGCCTCTCAAAGCTGGTTACTTCAACTTCACCTCCGCCACCATCACGTACCTGGCACAGGAGGGAGGACAGGTCGTGGTAAGTGGAGGATTTAGAGGAGCCCTGCAGATCCCCCGACCCTGCTCTTGCAGCTGCGGGGTCGGGGCGCTGTCCCTGAGCCCTCACCCTGCCCAGCTCTGCCCCAAGGAGGAGAGTGGTCAAACCTGTCTCTTCCCTGCCTTTTCCAGGTTGGTTTCACCAGCGCTCCCGGGCAGGGAGGAATCCTGGCCCAGCGGGACTTTGACAGGAGGTTCTCCCCTCACTTTGTAAGTGCCTTTCAGCCGACAGTGGAAATGGCTCTGCAGCAGCTGCAGCCCAGCAGTGGGTTCCTGCTGCTCGTGGTGTGTGTGGT